TGAAACCCAGCAAAAAAAAAAAAAAAAAAAAAAAAAAAGTGTTTTTCATATATTCCATTTGGAGTATAGCCACTATCAATTTCTCAACAGTAGTTGATACCTGTGTATATAGATCATCTTAATAAGCTTGAAAATAATACACATTTATCTGTTAAAAAACAAAAATCAAGTTTTCAACTTTATAAACACCCCTCACATCTAAAACTGTACTATGTATGCATGTGTGTTTTGTCATCCCATTTTTTTTTTTGGTAGCAGGGACTGAACGCAGGTCCTTGTGAGTGGCAAAGCAGGTGGTGGGACCACTGAGTAAATCCCTGGCCCTGCATGTGTGTGTTTGATACATTTTAAGAAATGTACTTAGAAATAGAGAACACATTTTACTGTACATATAATTCACAGAATTATAAACAGTTTAGTGTTTCTGAAATAGATCACACTACGGTCAAAGGTAATAGTCACATGACTTAGCAAAAAAATAACTGAGAGTTTAGATAGAAAAAAAAACCAGGGCCACAGTGAGACAGGAGGAGAAAATTAACATAGAATTAGTGCATGATACAGTACTTGGTCAAATAAAGTAAGAGAAAAGACTTATTCAGGATGCTCAGATAAGAATTAGCTGTAAACAAAGGAAACCATTCAAATTGTTGTGGGGAAATTGGTTCAGCCTGGCTGCTAATATGACTCAGAAGTCTATCAGTGAGCAAGGATCTAAATCAGGGTTCCTCAACACTGGGACTAAGAAGCTTGAGCTGCATAACTGTTGTGAGGGGCTGTACTGTGCACCATAGGCTGACTTTTACCTGCAACAGTTCCTTCTCTAGTTCTAACAACCCAAAACACTGCTAGATAATACTGAATCACCCTGAAGGACAAATGACCAGTGGCTGAAAAACCAATGTCAGTCCTAGAGAGAAACAAACTTGCCACACGTCCACCTTCCTAGACTGCTTAGTGTACTGTTCTTGCTTATACAGATCCAAATCCTCTACGTAGAACCTTCCTTTATCATCAGCAGCTCTCCTATTTCCTCTAATCCTCTACCCTCCTTTTCCTCTCTGTCCATCTCTTTTTCAGGGAAAGTGTTCAAACCTAGGCCTCTTGCACGCTGGTTAAATTCTCTATCATTATATCTACCAGTTGTTTATATTTTGGGCAAAGATATGCTGAAATTCTACACACTTATTGTTTTCTAAAAATTTCCAGCATAGAGCTAGTGGTGCAGCACAATAGTAGACTTGCATGCCTAACATGCAAGAGATGCGAGGTTCAATTTCCAGAGTGGCAAAATAAAAACTCCTAGCACATCCAGAATAAGGGGTATGTTCAACAATCAAGGTAGAGCTAGCATTCAAAAACTGTTCAAGAACAGAAGTGGGAGGTAGAAAATGTAACTTACATAAATTCTCAATATTCGTTTTTGCTTATTCCTGACAAAGGACTCAAGGTTTATCAGTAAATGATTGTGAAGGTCTCTAAATCAGTAGGTAAATAATATAAAACAAAAATCAAATTGTTCACGTTACCCAACCCTAAGGTTTAGCTATTTTTTATAATAAAAAATTTTATGACGGGGCCGGGGATTTAGCTCAGCGGTTCGGTGGCCTGCCTTGCAAGCGCAAGGACCCGAGTTCAATCCCCGGTACCAAAACAAAAAACAAAAAACAAAACAATTATGATGGAGATAAACTATAATCCAATTGTGTTAAATGTTATAACTGCAACATAATTACCTGGACTAGGAATCTGGTCACGGTATTTTGGAACCTCATCGTTCAGAGTCTGAAGCATAGCCCACATTGTGAACGAGAAGAGTGCAGCCAGGAACCCATAAAAAACTAGGTAGAAGAGCAAGATCAAACCTGTAAAACAAGTTAAATCCCATCAAATGTGGAAATACACACCTGTACACATGCTTGGCCAGGTTAAAAAACAAGCTCAAGCTTTGCCATGCACACAGCTCAGTATTCCCATATTCATAAAAATGTGCCCGAGCAAGGGTACTTCGGCAGGCAGCACCCACTCAGCCCACGAGCCCCGCTAACTTTCTGGTATTTCCACATTAAAGTAGCTTCTGTCATTCCCATTCTAGTTCAAACTCCGAGCTGTAGAATTCCAGCGGATAGAGGAGTGTTCCCAAAATGAATTTGACCTCTAAAAAGAGGAAAAAAATGATTTTTAAGTGGGATAACACCTCCCCCAATATAGCTGCACATTTAAGTGGCAAATAGACAATAATCTGTACATTTAACCCATATTTCACACTGTAATTATTGGTATAAATTCAAGTTTTAAAAGAGAGTGGATTTAAAGAGTAACAACCAGGAAATGTAAAAAGACAAAAATCATGAAGATGATACTCAATGAATAAAGTGTAGGAGACCCTAGTCAAGTGGAAGGGCTCATGCAGAAGTGAAAAGTGAGTAAGACACTCTCCTGCTAGGCAAAAGCAAGATTTGGCAGATACATTTCAACATTAAGGGCTTATTTCTTCCTTTACAATATGAAACTCTTAGATCCCTCCCAAGCTAATGACTCATTTATTGGAGCACCTATACTCCATTTTTCTCATCTACATTCAAAAATAACATCAGAAGTCATTACAATCAAGATTTGCTTCAGAATACATTGTTATAGCCACTCATTTATACTGAAATACATAAAAGTTGATCAAAGGTACTAAACAAACTTGTAGGTATAACAAAACTGAAAATAGTACTGCAAACTTGCAATCATATCAGCTTTATTTCCCAGTCTTTATAACCTACTATTTTGTTTGCCAAAGGGTTCCAAGCAGACCCCTACAGGAAGCACTTCCAAGGGTTTCTAGGATTTCTATAATTATATATTCTTGAACATAATAATTTTTCTCTGTGGTAATTGACTGAACAATTATCTTCTGATTTTCAAATAACACCATGACCCCAAAACAGGTTATGCCAAGGTTAGATAACTACATATCAGGAAACCATTCCCTACTCCCTTTTTCAAGAAGGGGAAATAAAGCAGTTTCACTTTAATTTAACTAGATCACACCCCTCTCCCCAATTACCAGGAAGCCAAGATAGGGAGCAAGAAGACAGAAGAAAGAGAGCAGGACAGGATGTCACCTTCAGACAGCATCACTTCCCTACCACACACTGCAATCCTGCTGCAGAAAAAGAAAACGAAGACCAATCTCAAAGGGGCGATTCATTTGCTAGAAGGAAATAACATAGCCCAAATATCATTTTAGTGACAAAAAGAAAAAAAAAAGATTCTTTTAGATGTAAATGGGTATAGAAAATATAGACAAAATCCTCTACAGAAGACCAGGATGGACAAATGCAGCAGTCTTCAGTTTACAAACATAAATTTTTTTTTTTTCTTTTGGTACCAGGGATCAAACTCAGGCCCTTGCACTTGCGAGGCAGACAGCAGAACCACTGAGCCAAATCCCCGGCCCTCACAAACATAATTTGTTCCACGATTTTGGAAAAGATGGGCACCTCTGTGTTTGTGCAGCAAAGATGTGTAGTCACATTTGTCACCCAATGTAGAGTTTGCAAATAAAAACAAAATCCTGCCAAAGCTTTTGTTTGTGAACTGAGGTGTCAGTGTATATAAACTAACTGGTGTGGCTGTATGACAGTAAAACTTTGCTTACAGAAATAGGCACACTGGTGCAGTAATAGTTTATCGACTCATGCACCACATATCAAACTTAAGATACCATTATTTTCATATCATTTTCAAAGTTTCGATTTTAAATTTCCAAGAAAAGTAATATGAAATTTATAAGTGACAAAATGAGTAGATAGCAGACATAAGCAAGCTGTATCCAAGCCTAATCCCAGCTTCTCAGGAGGCTGAGGCAGGAGATCGTAAGTTCCAGGTCAGTCAGGGTATCTTGGCAAGACTGTCTCAAAATAAAATTCAAAAGGGCTGGAGAGGGTTGAGGATTTAGTTCAGTAGTTCTGCCACCTGCCTCGCAAGCCCAAGGACCTGAGTTCCATGCCCTGTACCAAAAGGGGGGGGCGCTAGAGATGTACCTTAGTGGTAGAATGCCTGCCCAGTGTGTGTGAGGTCCTGGGTTCAATCCCCAGCACCGCAGAACATAAACACACACACTAACATCCATTTCTAAACCTGCTGCCACATACTAGCAGCCACCAGATATAAATAAAAAAGTTGTTTTCAGCTTTGAAGGGACTTTTGCCTACTTGAAAAATTTTGTTTGCCAAGATCCAAACCTAATACTTAAAAATAAAAACTAGGCTGGTTGCGGTGGCACAAGCCTGTGATTCCAGCACCGGGAGACTGAAGCCAGTCTGAATTACACAGCAAGTTCAAGGCCAGCCTGGACTACATAGAAGATCCTGCAAAAAGACCACAAGAACAAGAGAAGAGTAAAATAAACTATAATCAAATCAAAGACTGTTCAAAAAAAGAAAGACCATAAATAAAGGTAGCGATACTTTTTTTCATCTTAACCCTGTCCTCTTCCCTAAGAAGAGAAATAAAAAGTTGTAAATTGCTGCTCTTGTCTTGGAGTTAATCTGCAGTGAGGTTAGTGTCTCAAATGCAGGCTGGTAATGAATGGGCTTAGCTCAGCAGTGGAGTTCTTCTCCTGGGGCAGCTGGATCAATAATGGGTAGTGAATATATGGCACGTGATCTCTGAGCCATGTGTGCTCGTGAGATACCTAATACGTACCATATTTTATCATGTCATTCACGTCCAAAATGTAAAACTGTAAACAATTCCCATAAGTCATTACTCAACTGAAGAAATATGAGCGGGGCATGGTCCACATACCTGTAATCCCAGCATTCTGGGAGGCTGAGGTAGTTGGGTCCCAAGTTTGAGCCTAGGCTGGGCAACTTAGTGAGAACCTGTCACAAAAATAAACTTTTTTTTTTTTGGAGATAGGGTTTTGGTATGTATGTAGTCCAGGCTGGCTTCCAACTCACAGCAATCCAATCCTCCTGCCTCAGCCTCCTCTAAGGCTGGAATTATAGGCGTGAACTCCCAAGCCTGGCTACCAAAACCAATATTTTTAGCCAGGCACAGTGGTGCACACCTATAATTCCAGCCCTGGGGAGGCTGAGGCAGGAAAAGTGCCAAGAGTTAAAGGCCAGCCTGGGCTACATAGTGAATTCAGGGCCAGTCTGAACTACAAAGGGAGACCCTGCCTGGAAAAACAACAAAGCAAAACAAAAACCCCAAAAATAAAACATTATCTTGGGGCCGGGGATTTAGCTCAGCGGTTTGGTGGCATGCCTTGCAAGCGCAAGGACCCGAGTTCAATCCCTGGTACCAAAAAAAAAAAAAAAAAAAAAAAAAAAAAAAAAAAAAAAAAAAAAAAAAAAGAGAGAGAGAGAAAGAAAGAAAAAAGTTTGAGGTCAAATGGATCATAACCAAACATATTTATTCATATTTTTGCTCAGTGCAAAAACCCTGGGTTTAATCCCTAGTACTTCCAAAAACAAAAAGAATATGGACAACTCTTAAGAAACATCAGTTTATGGAGTTTTTTTGTTTTGTCTGCAATGTTGAGGACTGACCCAGGGCATTGTGCTTGGTAATAGGCAAGCACTCTATCACTGGTCTATACCTCTAGCTTGAATCATCAGTCTTTTAAAGTTTGAAGTAGGGCCTGGGATTTTAGCTCAGTGGTTCTGCCACCTGCCTCATAAGCACAAAGACCCAAGTTCAATCTCTGGTACCAAAAAGAAAAAAAAAAAAAAAAGAGAGAAAGAAAGAAAAAAGTTTGAAGTCAAATGAATCATAACCAAACATATTTATTCAAGCACCAAACAAATCTGAGGAAAGATGGATTTTATTTCTCTGTTGAAGTTAGTCAAAGAAAGTTGACATGAGTAAATGGACCAAAGTTAGTAAAAAGAAAGGTCTTGCACTTCATATGTTGGTAGAAAGATCATGGTTTAAAATCCTGAGAGATTTGGTCTATGAAGTTTCCATGGCAATTCATGTAGTGTATATGTTGACACGTGGAAATCATCTTAATTTTATTTCTGCAACTAAGGAATCATTTCCCTCTTCCTTTAATTGAGTTTTGTTACACTTCATTGAGAAGATTGGAGTCTGAGTAGAAAGTCTCACTATTTTCCAAGGATACGGAAAAATTTTCTTGTTAAACTGTTGGGAAAGTCTCTTTTAGTCAATATTATCAACTCCTTTATTTTATTTAGATGCAGACTTTCAGTAAGATGTCAAATAAGATTTTATTTCTGGGTAATTTTGGCTTCACAACTTTAAATCCTAGAGCAACGTGTATACAATTAAGATATTTCTGACATTTAGTCTTACAAGTAGATCAGTTCTAGAATTTAGGCATTTTTACTTCTGTAGAGTTTTGAATCTCTCCAGAATTGCATGTAGATAGCTTTTATTTCTGTGCATTTAAAAACCCCATTCAGGAAATATCTACAAAGTAAAAATGAGAGGAAATTATTTTTTCATGAACATTTTGATACACATTTTGTCAAGCTAATTGATTCACCAGTTTCTTACACTGATTATAATCAATGTTTAATTCAAAGAGAGGGAAGCATTCATCTTATTTGTAGGCTATTAAAAGTTCCACTCTTCACAAATTACCAAGGTTGGGGTAACCAAAGTTATATTTTTGTCATAGACAAAAACTTCAACTCCAAGCCATAATGTTGAACAGAATTGGAGTTTTTTCTTTAGAATTTCATGAAAAGGCAAATGAAAGCTTATCAGAATGCTTGTATTTTCTTTTCTCTCTGGAACATCAACACCAGTATATTGCTGGCAGCTATTATATTAAAAATAAAGTATATTTTCACTATCACTAACAAAAAACAAACAAACAAACAAACAAAAAAACCAAACAAAGCCGGGTGTGGTGCCGCACCCCTGTAATCCCAGCACTCGGGAGGCTGAGGCAGGAAGATCGCTGTGAGTTCGAGACCAGCCTGGGCTACATAGTGAGTTCCAGGTCAGTCTCAACTACATAGTAAGACCCTGTCTCAAAACAAACAAACAAACAAACCAGTTTAATGCTGTAATCTGCGTTTTTCTACTGTCACATCGTCATTCTTACCATATAGAAAGATGACAACTGTTACTTATTTTCACTCTGAGATCTAAGGACACACAAGAGAAGAGTTGACATGCCTGTAGTACCACCTACTAGGGAGGCTGAGGCAGGAGAATTCTAAACTCAGGGCTAACCTGGACAATTTAGCCTGTCTTGAAATTAAAAAAAAATTTTTTAAATAATGGGATGTGGGGCCAGGGACTTAGCTCAGTGGCACTGAGCCTGTCTCACAAGCTCAAGGTCCTGAGTTTGATCTTGGTACAAACAACAACAACAAAAAAAACAGTGTGTGGCTCAGTGGGAGCCTAAGTGGGTTCAACTGCTTATGGTGTTGGGAGTAAGGGGAGAGAGGAGGAAGGAGGAAGGGACAAGGGGAAAGAGAAGGAAGAGGAGGAGGAGATGTCAAATGTTTATAATTTCAGCCCCTCTTCTATGGGCACAGATCCTCTTCCCTCTCTTTATATCTCATCTTGAAAAGCCCCAATACTCCAACCCCCCCTTATTCTGATGACAGGAGACAGGAAATCCAGCAGGTGGCGGTACAGCAGGGTGGTTATACATAATCAGGCCAGAGTCAGGTGCGGCTCAAATCCTGACTAGCCACGGTTCATCTGCATGGCCTTCAAAAAAGCCGTCTCCATTCCCATATGAAAAAAAGAGTGACAGCAATATCTAGCCAATTACGCACATTGTACAAAGGAAAATCAAAGTCACGAGATTTGACAACACTAAAACCAAAACTCTTAAGGGGAGAAAAAGACCAACAAACTAGAAATGATTTTTGAAATTCTACTGCAATTAAGCTTTACAAACTTAAATTTTAAAGTTTAACCCAATCAATTTTTATTTTACTCTCAAAAAAATGTCTTAACAAGCTGGGCATAGTGGCGCAGGCCTGTCATCCCAGCACTAGGGAGGCTGAGGCAGGAGGATTGTTGTGAGTTCGAGACCAGCTTGAGCTACATGAGTTCCAGGTCAGTCTCAACTACATAGTGAGACCCTGTCTCAAACAAAACAAAACAAAAAAGTCTTAAATGAGGCTGGATTCATGTGGACTTTGT